TCAACATTTTCCTTTCCACATCTAGGAAAACCGTCAGTCGTAGAAAACATTAGTGGACTCCCTCCATTCCACCCGTGCCACGCTTCCGACCTTCACGGAATGGTCCACGCTACCATCAGCGGTTCTCCAGGTACCGGGGAGTGAACTAGCCGCTTATGGTAGCGTGTACCATTTCGTCTCCGCCTAGGTCTACCAAGTCCCCGTCTCTTCCAAATTAGCTACTGTAAATGCAGAAAAAAGACCAGCAATTACGGGAGTAAACCCAGCGGGTGAGAACTTCTATGAGATCTCTTTGAAGGGACAGTTCACGGCTCTTATGAGTTATCGTCCCTCGAATACCTCATGTGATCTGACAGCATGGAAAACGGCCTAGATATGGCGCTATAAGGGCTCAAATATTGTACCGATTGTATGTCACACAAACGACGGACGAGTTCTAACGGTATTGTAGAGAAGACGGAGGCATGCGCCTTCACAGAGGACACCTGTAGAGGAAGTTCAAACAACTTTCCATGACCCATGGCGACAGTGGAAGGCAGCTCCGGACAATTTCGGCTTAATGTGGTCAGCTCCTTGGGCAATTGCAACAGCTGTAATCTCGTCCGAGTGCCCCATGCACGTTACTTCCATCATGGGAATCTCGTACATCGTCTTTTTTCACTACTTTCAGAAGGACTTCATTCTCGGAGTCGGAGGATTTCACTTTTCTTGTCTCCGAAGCACTATTCCCGTTCGGAACTTCAGTAAAAAGGGTACCTCAAAATTATCATGAACTGTGCCTTTAGACCTACGGTTACAGAAAGAGGCATATAGCAAGCTGCTACCATTCTACGGCTTAGAATTTCCAAAGTAAAGCGGTACAAGCAGGTATTTTGTCCTTCCAAATGAATGTGGTACCAACCTGATGTACCCAAAACAGTGGGCTGCCGTTTCTCGGGGTGTCCTGTCCGTAATCTGGTGATTTTCTTCCGTAAACTAGGGTAAATGATGATCCTTTGTGTATCGTGTTTTTTCCTAATGTTCGGTCTCGTTGTGCTTTTTTTGTTGTTCTTTTTTGTTTTTTGAAGGGATTTTCTTGAAGAATCTCTATTTATCATCGATATGATGAATTGAAGATCACAAACCAATGGCATGCCATATTTTTCAATATTCGACATTCGACAAGTAGTGGCTACATTCAGATCAGACACAAACTTTTTTGGAGCTCTACTTTCGAAGCACTTGATATTGGGGTAACAAAACACTTCATGTAAAGTTTTTCTTTATCGAACAACTTATTTCAGGGGAAAAAATTCGAATTATTAGGTTGTGCGTAAAGTATTTGCTCAGATTTCTTCAATACTTCAGATTTCACCCTAGATTTTCTTGAAACTTCCTTGTGGTCACAACTATAGCGACATATGCTCATAAGAGATCCGTCTACCGATCCCTTGATATATATTACCCATTTAGTGTTCCTACTATCTACCCATATTCACCCTGCTGTCCTTTACGATTCCAGATCTGGCCATTTCGTTGCTTAAGTTGAACGAAGCTTGAGTCAAATATTTGGTCTGCAACCCTTCCTGAGCAGTCCTCCCGAAGCTTCACGCCGAAAATACGAATATCGAAGGTGAGCCTTCATCTCGTCAACTGACTGCGATCTCATGGAATATTCTGGTGCATTATGCGCATACACATCTGAACTCTCTGGGAAAC